GCTGCACAGTGGGAAGCTGTACAAGGCCAAGAGCAGTAAGGAGCTGTACGGATTCCTTTTCAATGACTTCCTCCTGCTCACCTACATGGTTAAACAGTTTGTGTCTTCTGGCTCCGATAAACTGTTCAGCCCCAAATCCAACTCCCAGTTCAAAATGTACAAAATGGTGAGTGAATCAGGCTGTTCCATGGTTATGTTAGTAGCAGTGGATGCTGGCTTCTGATGAGGAATGCTGCTCTCCTGCTGGGATTAGCTGCCTGGCCCCTTTTGCTGTCACACAGGTGTGTCCTGGCAGACAACTTGCACAACTGCCACTGGCCTGGATCCTAGAAAAGGACAGGCTTTTGTGTCTTGGCTAAACAAACACTTTGGTGAGGAAAGGGCAGAAGCAGCATCGTGCCTGAGCAGCTCAGTGGGATGTTCAGAAGCAGGAGCCTTGACTTGATTTTGCACAAGTTGCATCCACAAGACATTTCCTGTTCTTCCTCAGAAAAGAGTAAAAGGAGAAAAATTTTACTCACTCTACACACACAGTGCGTGTTCTCAAGATTCTGAAGTTGGGGAGATAAGTTGAATTATCAGGGCTGCTTTGCCATTGCGAGCCTGAGAGATTCCCAGGACTTCCAAGCTTCACACTGCAGCTCTGCTTACACGGTCATGCCCCTTTCACAAAGCTCTCCCCCTAGGAAGGCAAGAATGGCGTGTATAGCCAGAGTAGTTTTTCTCTCAGCCCTTTCTCACATCCTTTACATGATGATCTCACTGTTTGTCCTGTGTCCTATGACTTTAATTTTCCCTACAGTAAAACAATGTATCTAAACATCCTTGTAAACTTGCAGCTCATTGTCACAGGGTGATGCTGCCACAGTGACATCTGCTCTTCTTTCAGCCGGTTTTCCTTAATGAAGTCCTCGTGAAACTGCCCACAGACCCTTCAAGTGATGAGCCCGTTTTCCACATATCGCACATCGACAGAGTTTACACACTCAAAACTGACAACATCAACGAGCGGTGAGTGGTGACAGTGCAGATCTGAGCCTCAGCTTGCAGATGGAGGCTGCAGGTCACGTCTCCAATGAGCAGATGTGGGGGGCTCTAAGCTCAAGAATAGGGTTTAGTCCCTTGGTCAGGAAATAAACCCACTTGACTCTCATTTGAATGACAAGTTTTCTCTGATTTTGTTCTGCTTGTGCAGCAGCTCTTGCATTGGAATCCAGCCACATCTGCTGCTCCCTGACATTACTGTTGCATAGAACAAGAGTTTAGGGCTGCAAAGTCCAGCTTCCCCAGGCCTGGTCAGTTCTTAATGTGACCCAGCAGCCTTTAATAAAACAGCAGCTCCACTTTTTTTTTAAATTTAGTCTGATTTGGAATGTGGCATTAAGATTAAATCCAAAAACTCCATCGCTTTAATCCGTGACCTAACTTGATTTGTGATGCCTCTGAAACCCAGGGAGGGGGGAATGGCAAAAGAGATTGGGGCAGTGTCACTGATGCTGAAGATTCCCTGCCTGTGGGCTGACCCTGACTGTGGGGATTGCTCTTTGCAGCACTGCCTGGGTCCAGAAAATCAAAGCGGCGTCAGAGCAGTACATCGAAACGGAGAAGAAGAAACGTGAAAAGGCTTATCAAGGTACCTACAGAGTTCTGTGTTTCCCTCTCATCCACCTGGAGGAGGCCACAGTGTCTGTGCAGGATCTCCCTCTTCAGATCTACTGCCAGTTTTTACAGTTCCAACCAATCCATTTATTTCTGACCTCTCTGTTCCCAGCCCGCTCGCAGAAAACCTCAGGAATAGGACGTTTGATGGTGCACGTGATTGAAGCAACAGAACTAAAGGCCTGTAAGCCCAATGGTAAGTGAGGGAAACAGCCTCAAATCACTTTTATTCCTGTAACATTTGGAAAGGCTTGCTGAGAGGAGTTTGGTGATTTGGGAAACGCTCTACAGTATGAATTAACCATTCTTTAACTTCAGAGAACTGAGGGAAGAACCAGCTCTGTGCTGCTGTGGGATATAGGGATTGCCTGATCCACGTTTGGGCAGCAGCATCCATGTGTGTCCAGGCAGGCTCCAGATGGAGGGGGGGGGGGGGTTTCTGCACTGCAGGGGGTTTTCACTCCCTGCTCTGTGTTTAGGGAAGAGCAACCCGTACTGTGAGATCAGCATGGGCTCGCAGAGCTACACTACCAGAACCATGCAGGACACCCTGAACCCCAAGTGGAACTTCAACTGCCAGTTCTTCATCAAGGACCTGTATCAGGATGTCCTGTGTATCACCATGTTTGACAGGGATCAGTTCTCACCGGATGGTAAGTGTGGACATTTAGGAAAAGAAGCAGTTCTGAGAGCCTGTGGGTCTGATTGCTGCCTGAGAAATGTTGTGTAAAAGCAGTGCCTCAGGACACAGGAGGTTCAGTGACCTTCCAGAGCCAGCAGTTCCAGGCAGTCAGATTTGATCCCACTCCGGCTTTTGTGTCACAGTATTTTTTTTTTTTTTCGGTCAGACTGGGCCAGACAGAGAATTTGAAAGAAGTTTTACTCTCTCACTATAGGTTCCCCCAAAATAAGGTGCCAGGTTGTATTTGCACAGCAACAGCTTGATAAGTTTTCTTGTTTTGCTTGGAAACAACACGGTTTGGGCTGTCAGTTGCTTCTCATACTCCCTGAAAGCTTAAATGCTTTTTCAGGGCTCACACGTGGTTGATTATTGCAGATTTACAAGGAACTGCCTTGACCTGAGGTGCCGTGTGTGTAACTATAGCTCAGTCTTTTCTCCTGTGAGGTGACGTGACTTTGGGTGCTTCTCCCAGCTGGACAGCAGAGTCTGTCGTTTTTTCAGTCCACAGTGAGCCTTTTAATGCACAGACACACACACAGATGTTATATAAGAAATGGCCACAAAGAGGGTATATGATTTCTGAATAGAACTGTAAACCTACTGGTGGTAGTAATTGTTCAAGTCATTGTTCTTGTGAGAAGAATGATCTATAAGCTTAATTAAAAGTCGGCTGAGCCAAAACAGTTGATTTTTTTAATTGTCTTTATAGCACCTCAGCTGATCTGGAAACAGGTTCTATCACCTAACTCAGACCTGCCAGCTCTAAAACTGGAGAATATTTGAAACTGTGTTTCTGAAAGGGTATTTTCTAAGAGTGTTTTTAAAGCCCTCCGCTCAAACTGTGACAATAAAGGCATGTTCTCCATCCTAAATCCGTAGCATTTTTGTCTTCTAGAAAGATCCTTCCTTGTCACTGGCTGGTTTACACAGGGCTGAGGGCAAACAAGAAAGCTGGGAGCAGTGCTCTGGAACTGAACACCTAGTGTGCAGCATTGCTGCTTAACCTGTCTCTCTCAGGTTCTCTAAGCTGTCTCTGCCTAATGAAATTTCTTACTCACTTGCCCAACAGATTTTTTGGGTCGCACCGAAGTTCCAGTAGCAAAAATCCGAACAGAACAAGAGAGCAAAGGCCCCACGACTAAACACTTACTGCTGCACGAAGTTCCAACTGGAGAGGTCTGGGTGCGCTTTGACCTGCAGCTCTTTGATCAGAAAACACTCTTCTAAGAACACCTTTTTTTTTTTAATTTATGAAGGACAACTGAAGCTGACAGACTGAATATCTTTTGGTAAAAGATTCCCTGCCCCACGCTGGTTATTAAGAAAGAGTTCCCGCTGCCTCCGTGTTTCCTCTTAGCTCCTGCTTGTGCTTAGTTCCTTGCAGCGTTCCCAGTTGTTGTTGATCTATGCAAACACAAATGTTACTGTATATACAGTACTATAGCTCAGTGCCTTTTTATTATGTTGGAATATCTTGGGTTTGGATGCCAATGTTTCCATTTTCAGGGCCATAAAAAGTATTAAGTAGAAATGTGGCACCAAGCTGTTTGTATATTTTACCACTTAGTCTGACAGACAGACTGAGGAATGGTTTAAGCTCAGCACTGGAATCATTCCATTAGAAATCCTAAAAGTGATATCCACTGGAATCTTCCTGTCTCAGGATGATAGTTTTAAAGGTAAAATGCTGAAGAAGCCTTAGCACTGGAGAAGTCTCCGATATATTGTATATTCTTTAAGAATCAAGTGTAGTTCTTTACTTGACTTAGTTCTGCACTGGAATCAGTAACTGCTACTTGATTTTAATTTCTGCTTCAGTTTGATTCATCATTCTCTGCTGAGACAATGTGGTTGTGAAGAATAACTAGAAAAAAATATTTTAAATACTGTGACCCACAATAATGTGGCAAAATACTCTTCAGCTTTTGGGTTTTTTCCTAAATATAAGTTATTTGTGTACATTTCCTTGGTCTTGCAGACCTCCATGTGAATCTTGAAGCTTTGACATTGCCAACATGTATATAGAGAGTAAAATGTAAGTTTATTAATGTAATTTGTCTACAGATGTTTATGGATTTTTAAAATATATATTTTATTGTACAGGGGAATGTGAAATAATGAGAAAAACTTATAGGATTCGTTCAAGAAAAGTTTATTACAAGTTTAAAAGGTTTGCCTGGGGGGAACTGTCACCCCAACACAAACCTGTAAAAAGAGCTGGTTGAAAGCAAAAGCTTTCTCTTGGCACCAAATCAGGGATGGTTTAAAAAAAAAAAAAAGTTTGTTTATGAAATGTTTGATACATTGTAACCATTTTACTGCCTCCTTAAACTGCTTTATTGCAGAAGCACAGCGTGCAGTTCTGGGCAGCCCTTTCCAGGGGTGCAGCAATTCCTCCTGAAGTCTGGCAGTCAACCCTGCAGTCACCATCTGTGCACCCTCCTGTTACTGAGTCAACCTCTGTTACTTTTAACAGTTTTCTGTGGTTCAGTATTTCTAATCCTAAATAAAACTCAATCTTGGCAACTCTTGAGAGATTGTGTCTGTACAAGTGAGAGTTTGGAGAGTTGAGGAAATTCTGCTTCCAGGCTTTGAGACCAGAGCTGCTGTGCAGCCACACCAGGGGGAGATGGCACCACTCTGGAACAGGAGAGAGGCTGGTCTGTGGGGCACTGGCTCAGCTGCTGCTCAGCACAGACTCTGAAAAGCACTTCCCATCTCCTCTCCCCTACTCATTTCCTGCTTCCTCAGAACACCATATATGTATGTTAAAAGTTTGATTTACTGCTTGTACACTGTGTTCAGGAGAGAACACCAGCACAATCTTTGTTGAGCTGAGCCTAAGTTAAATCTCCTAAAACAGCGGATTTTGGCATTTAGAGCATGAACTGGAGCTGGCAAGAATTGGAGCAGCATCCCAAACGTTTCTTTGGCTGCTGGGTAACACCACTCCAGAACCACGATCAAGATAATAAGTTTATTGCAGTTTGCCAGAAGACTTGGGCTGTTATGACTTGCTTTGGCAGCAGATGTAACCTGTTTTACAAAGGGTGCCTTCTGCTGGCTGTGCTTGCTGCTCTGGTCAGCCAGGGGACAGGTGACATCATTGGCTCTTGCTGTCATTGTGGTGATTGATGACTTCCATCCTTTAAACAGAAGGAAAAACTTTTGCCATGCTTCTGTAAAGATCAGCTGAACTGTCAGAGTAGTTCCTTCTACAGAGCACACACAGAGCTTGCCTGGGAACTCTCCAACCCTCCTTAGACAGGACACACTCCCTGTGCTGCCACAGCGGATTTGAAATGAGGAAAACAAACCTCCCCCCTGCCATTGCCTACTGTGCCTCTGAATCTGGGCTTAGGATGGATCCAAACCACATTCCTGCTGAAAACCATGTTCAAATACTCTTGGGCCTAAATGCAGTAGGAGCTGGGACCCACATTTGTTCAGTTAATAAAACTGGAATGTGTTTCTCTCCAGCAGCATGTCAGCAACATGCTCTGCCTCCCAACTATGAACTGCCTGCCGGGCAAAGGGGAACTCCAAACCTCACACCTTCCAGCAGTCTGTGCACATCTTCTGGGAGAATGGATCGTACTCTGATGGGTCAAAATGGTCCAAAAACACGTAGCCCTGTGGGAGAAGCAGGCAGTGGGTCAGGTTTCAGAAGCCTTAGGAGATACAACAGTGAGAACAGCCAGCCTGGGTGGGACACAGCCCGTGACAGACGTGGTTGAGAAAAGGAGTCCCAAATTTTCGCACACTGCACCTCAGAAATAAGGTGACTGGAGTGCAACAGAAAATTCCTCTATCCATTTTAATTTATCATAGGCATAAATACATAATACATGATTTCATGGAGCATCCAGAAATAATTTCAGGCTAAGATGCTCACCTTAACTAGGGCAGTCAAGACAGTGGAAATTTCGCTCAAGGGAAAATGTTTTGACAGAGAAGGGAACGGGTATTATTAAAAAAAAAGTGGAAAAAGAAAGGAGTGGGTGAGCCCTCAACAGGCACAGCCTGGGCAGGTCACTGGTCTGGGTTCATGATCCGGCTTTTCCATCTAGACATAGGAGTGAAGACCTGAGCACACCTCATAGTGCAGGTCACAGCTCCCTCTCATTAAAAACTCTGCCTGCAACAATCATGTTCTGCAGTTCAAGTTCCCTATAACAAGCACATAAAATACTCCTCCCTAATATTCATTCTTACAAAACCCTGGAAATAAAGGTTTTTTTCATCTTTCTTGTGCGGGTGATTTTCCAGGGATCCCAGGAAAGAAGGGAGCATTCAGCCCATGGCCTCCTAGATCTCAGCCCTACACGGTTCTTCATGGCAATCTGTGGATGTGATTTCAAGACTTGGAAAAAAACATACTTGAACCTGAACAGCTCAGGAGCTCTGCAAGACAAGGCCAAACAAAAAAAAAAAAAAGTGGGATCTACAGCAGATTTAAGAGGTCACTGTGCTGAAGGGGAGTGAGCCAGGCCCTGAGGGCCGGTGCTGTTCCCAGACACTCGGGAAGCACCGTGGGGCTTCTCTGCCGCTGAATGTGGATGCTGCCTCTGCAGGGGCCTCTGCTCCTCAGGATCTGGCAATTCCCCACACAACAGCAGCCACACTCACCATCTCATGTGTCTGTCCCTGGAAAGCTTCAAGCCCTAACAGAGCTCAATTTGCAGAGTTTTAGTGCCACCCCTTGGTTTGTTATCACATATCACGCCTCTACAGGGTGTGCTGAGAGCTCAGTGGATCATGGAGGTGCTTTGCTGCACTCCCAGGTCTGATCCCTTCATGCAGTCGATGCATTGCCCCTCACACAGCCCTTGGAATACAGCAGAGTAACAGCTCTTCCCAATGAGTCAGGGGGGTCTCTTCCTCTGCAGCACATGATGCTCCCAATAGCCTGGACTACCAGAAGCTGAGCTGTGGCTAACACAGCAGCATCCCAGGCAGGGGAAACCCCTTGCAGGCTGCACTGTCACACTGCCATCTTCACCCTGTGACCAACCATCTCGTTAGGCATCTGCAGTCCATGGCCACAGGACTTGAGAGGAGGAGGAGTGGGAATGGCAATGAAAAGGAGGCAGATTTGAGGCAAAAAACCCCATGTATGAGCAGGTCATTGGAAGACCAGAGAGTCAGGGAAGGGAGGTAAAGGAGGAGGGGTCAGATGGTGTGAAAAAGGCAGATGAGTGAGCTGACAAAGACTGAGATGGAGGAACTTTTTAAAAAAGTGAGGGGAGGAGGAGAATGGAGGAAAAGGGAAAAAGCTTTGGAAAGCAAAGGACAGTGAAGAATTTGGAGGAATTATCAGAAGCAACAAGAAGATGGAGACACAGCAGTGGGGACTGTAATAGAAGAAAGGGGCAAAACCAATTTATGGATGGAGTAAAAGAGTTGACTGGAGAGAGAAAGAGAGGAAGATGAGAGACTGGAGGAAGAATAATAGACGTGGAAAGAAGGAATGGATCAGTCACAGGCATGGGAAGGTCAGGAGATCTGGGAAACAGGAGAAGGAGAAGCCTAACAGCAGGAAAGAGAGCAAATGGACAAAAAGAAGGGGGTGAGGGGAAAATACAAAGCCAGAAGTCAGTATATTAACCAATCTGCAGAAGTGTTTCAAGTGCTGCAAAATGTATCATGTGCTGCCTTGGTTAATGCAAACTTATGCAAATGAGTTGTCCTGTAACTCTGAAGGGTTCAGCCTGCCCTGCAAACATGCTGATGATAGAGCTGACAACACGGAGCAAGGGGAAAAGGTGGAGGCTGATCACTGGTGATGGTGCTTTCCTTCCAGGAGGACACATCCCAGCACATCAGCCATTGCTTTTGGAGGACACCCAGAAATTCCTGACCTGACACAGAAGCTTGCAAGTGGACTGATGCAGACCCAGGTAAGTACAGCACACCCAACACATCCTAAATCCTAGGACACCAGCAGTAGGACTGATTCAGGTCTTTGGTGTTCCATGCAGTTTAAATGCATGGGTCTGTCACACCAGGCCTTTGAAAAAGAAATCATTTGCTCTCGTTAGAACAACACAGCTCCCATGACATTCTCATTTTTGGCTGAGAAGGTTGTTTACAGTCTCACGACTCCACTGTGCAGTGGTTTCCACTGACAACAAATGCCTGTTCTCGATAAAATATTATCATTTTTGTGGCAGGCAGATTATGTAACTGCACTTACTGCTCTATATTTCCATTCCTGAGATGCAGAAAGTTGAGTTGTGGGATTTGAGACTCAACAGTAGTGTGAAATTCAGAGCAAAATGAAGAAAACCAACAAGTATTTCCTACAGTGCCTGCAATTTTTCTGAGTACTGAAACACATGGAACTACAAAACGTTAGGTCTGTTACCTGCATACAGACTTCAAGAAAATTGTTTGTATCTCCCTGTTCCCACATTTTTTTCTTTTATGATCAGTAGCATCCAGGGCCACAAAATCATTTCACTTGTGCTCTGCCAACATACTGCAGCAGTGATGCAGCTGAACTCCTGATATGAGAGTGCAGTCCCCCCTCTGCTCAGTCAGCCTGTGATTTCAGCTGACAGAGCTCAGTTTGTCCCACTAAATGGTCCAGCTCACAGAGGGAAATACACCTCAGTATGGTGTCTCATCATATTCAGACCCAAGCAATGCTATTGTTTGTATCTGATGGGGAATTTAAACAGCTCTAACATCATATGTCACCATTACAGAAGTCCTTGGGAAAGAAAGGGCAGTTACAGGTAAGGTTCAATGGGCAGCAAACAGCAGCTAAACCCCTGATTTGTCCAAAGCCCTCCCTATCCAACCTCTCCATGACAGAAATGTACTTCTTGTTGATACCTTCTTTTTACAGTAGTTTAAATACTGAGATAATTGTTCTTGTTTCCTTTTCTGCATTTCTTCAATTGACTGGCTGCTCATTTTGTCCTCGATTTTCTGCAGCACTGGCTCTAAAACATCCTTAAGCCATTCCTTGTACACAATCTCCTTCTTCCTCAGGTTTAGGAAATCATTGTGCCTCAGGTATCTGTCCACCTCCTAAGTAAGAAATGGAAAATAAAAACCATATAGATTATTGGCCAAGCACATTAAAGGTTTCACAGATGAAGGTTGGCTGATCTGACTGGTCTCTGCTCCAAGGGCCCTGTTTTCCAGCCCTTCCTTGTGTTTCTCCCTCTCTCCACTTCCCACCACTTATTTCCAACCTCTTGCTTGCAAGAGCTCTGGCATTCAGACCCTTAACTTTTGAAACTGTGGTGCAAGAAGGGAAAATGTGAGTAATTTTTTGCTGACCAGGTTATTGAGCTGAAATCACTGCAGAACAGGGGGCTGATAAGCAGCAGACTGTGCAAGACAGGCAGCAGGAGAAGGACCTTCTCCTTGCAGCACTGGCAATCTGCTAGATCAGATCAGATCAGATCAGATCAGATCAGATCAGCCCTGCTGCCCTTTGCTCACAGCCCCACTGACCAACTAACCACACCCACAGAGCAAATATTAGGTGCAAACAGGCAGGCAAGGCACCCATGATTCACATTTAGGGTTACTGCTTCAGTCACATGCAGAGGAGATTGAAGAGGCCACAAACTCATACTTCTAAATCAGTTTTTTAAGGATACATACAATTAACATCTTCTCGCAAATCATTGACTGGAAACTAAAACACACTGACAGGCAGGAAAGCACACAACAAATCAGAAAAGAGGTACCACTTCTTACCCTCACAAAACAATTTTCTCTGTCCAAGATGCACTGAACAGAAGCAAGGATGTCTCGGCTTTGGTCAGGTGTTACCTAACAGAACATAAAAAACCCACATGAAGCAAAAGCAGGACTCAGAGTAGGAGTCAGATTTACTTTTGAATTCAAAACAACTACTGGTGTTGTGATTAAAGACATATTATACCATAACCCAGCTGGCAAATCCTCGCAAGACTTGCTTGGAACAGTGGGGATAAGTAGCAACAGAAGAGTATTGGCAGAACTGGAATGGGGACAGGAACGTACATGTTAAGACCATACACGTCCTTGGCTGCTCCTCACCATGACCACACACCACTTGCTCACCTGTGCCAAACATGGCTCATTAACTCAACTCCTGCACTGCAGCCAAGGAGCACAAGCAGTACAGACCAAATCCATCTATCACTCAGGGATGGAGCCCCTACAGGGAAGATGAGGGGGGTACCTCCCCTGTGATCAGGCTGCACCAACTCTGTGGGATAACCAGAGAGACCTTGTCTTCAGCAGTTTCTACAAGCAACACGTCATCCAGGTCTTGGCTGGGACAGAGTTAATTTTCTTTCTAGTAGCTGGTACAGTGCTGTGTTTTGAATTTAGGATGAGAGTAATGTTGATAACACACTGATGTTCCAATTGTTGCTAAGTAGTGTTTACACTACGCCAAGGTTTTCTCAGCTTCTCACACCCCATCCCACCAGTGAGCAGGCTGGGGGGGGTCACAAGGAGCTGGGAGGGGACACGGCTGGGACAGGTGACCCCAGCTGACAAAGGGTTAACCCAAACCTCAAGAGACCTGGTTTTATTCAGGCCTAAGCCAGAGGCAGGGCTGAAACATTCACATTTCACCTGTCTGACCTGCTGCCTCCTCCCCAGGTTTCCAGTGATGAATTCAAGTCATCCCTGCTGTGACTTTCCTCTGCTCTTTAAAACCTGAGCTACAGCCACAGCATTTTTGCACGAGCCACCATGCCAATGGCAGCACAGACTCAAGGAATGCATTTGATGCACAGAATGGAAAATTAACCTGCTACTCCCTGTGCTTAACATTGATTCTTAATTCCAATAAACAGTGTAGTTTCCAGTCATGTCTGTCTTGACCTTGCTGACCAGCTCCACACTCCAACAGGCAAGGAGAAGACAAATAGTATTTAAAAACCATCAAAAACAAATGAGAAGAGGAAATCTAAATTGCTGGCACATTTTAAGCTCCTTTCATCCTACTATTTGAAACAACTGGCATGTTGTATTACACCTGACAAATCCACTTCACATAATCACAGATCCTTTCTAAGACCAGCACCATAAAAGCAGCAGGGACACACAGACATCACTCCAGCTGAGAACCACCAGCAGAAAGTACTCAGAACACACTCTGATGAGTAGGTGGAAAGTTTTCCTTCAGGATGATCCCTGTCTGAAGACTCCTTCAGAACCAAAGGAATTGGTTCCAAAGGTCCCCTTTGACTGAAGGAATTCAGTCTCTTCTCTCTGGAAAAGAGCAGGCTCAGGGGGAGCCTCATCACAGTTCTTACAGGGCAGCTACAAAGAGGATGGAGGTTCTCTCTGCACCAGAAGCCACGGGCAGGAGACAAGGGGTAAGAGGTCCAAGTTGTATTGGCTGAAGTTTCATCTCAATATAAGAAAGGAACCTTTTACAGTGAGATCAATCACTCACTGGAACAACCTCCCCAGGGATGTGGTGGAGTCCCCATCACTGAAAGTTTTCAAGATATGATTGGACAGGGTGCTAGACAACCTCACCTGGTGTCTCCTTCCCATAAAAGGTTGAACCAGATGATCTTTCAAGATCCCTTCCAGCTGGGGCTGTTCCATGAGCCTGTGACTAGTCACAACCTTGTTTCAGGTTTTATGGGAAACTTTTCCACATACCAAGCTGCAAGTAACTCAGTAAAACTGCCTCAAAAGGATGCAAGAGCTTGATAAAACCCATTGAGTTGGTTACTTTTTACAGAGTTTTTTGTTCTTCTCCATGACAAACACATCTCAGATTTTTCAGAACATTGCAAATAATTATTTTTCATTCCTCCCCTCATAACTTCCGTTTCATTCCTCCACTCATATCTTTGCACAACAGAAGCCCTTCTGTGTTAGCCAATCCTGGGCAATAATTTTCTTCTGCAGTCAAAAGTTTTTGCTGTGCCACTCTTTGCTGGTGCTGAGAACCTGTGGATAAAAAGGTAAAGGAAGGGCGAGGTCTGCATAAAAAGCCAACGTGCTTTACAAAGATCAGGCCCTCATCCAGGTTCCACAATCTGGGATGGAGCAGTAGAAAGTAACACACACTGCAATACCCATTTCTGAGCGTGCCCAGGACAGACTGAGACACAAGCTCCTGCTGGCTCTCAGATGAATTCAGGCACATGCCAGGGACGGCAGTCTGGGAGCACAGACAGACAGACCAGAATTCCCTAATCCCACTGTCCAGAATTCAGTGGGATTAGGTGGCCGGTTCCAATACAGAAGCCCAATTACACACCAATACTCTGGGATCCCAGTTACAGATACTGTTTTCTGTGGCTGTTCACAGTAGAACCTACAGCTGAAGGAGTGCTGGGAGTCACTCACCCGCCAGGGCCGTGGCTGATCAGGTTCTCTCACAGGTCTCAGATGTGTCATGTTTTTTAGCCAGGAAATCTCTGAGCTCTTCCCACTGTGCATGGTTGGAATAATCTGGGAGAAACATGAAAACAGCCAAAAACATGCAAAACTATTGCATAAACAGCAAAACCTTTATTTTCTTACAATTGCTACCAATCGACGAAGCAAATCTCTAAAGGAATTCTAACTGCTGATGCCAGCAGCATCCTCCTGTCACAGCAAGTAAAACAGAGATGAAGTATCAGGTTTACAGTCAGGTACTGCCTCTGGTGGGACTGTCTGTCCTCATCTCCACAAACAACAGACAGTACATTTTGTTTCAAAGAACAGTGGTTCAAAAATGATTCCACAATGCCTGTCAGCTTTGAAAACATGTCAGAGTTATCAAATTCCACCTCTGCACTATTACTTACTTCCTTTGTGCCTTTTTCAATCACATAAAAGTCACTTTCAAGTAACTGCTACATCCCACCCCAGGGATGGCTGCCTTTTAGTGGGTTTTAAAGTCAGTTCTACCAGACAAAGCTTATGCTGAAGCACCAACTCTGAGCTCCAGCCAGAACATTCCATCTCCTCTCGTCTGTGCCTCAGTATATCTGTATCAATTTATAACAGAGACAGCAGAACCACAGAGGCAAAATGCCCTTTACAGGAACCTCCATTTAAACCTCTATTTATTTCAGATTCACTGGAGACACACTGCTTCCAGGAAACAATGGATTCACATTACTTAGGTAGAGAGTGGAACAAAAGAAAAGCTTATTTCTGCAGAGATACTGACCTCAAATCTTCAGCCACATCTTTCAGTTACAAAAATACATTCTGTTCTTCAATTATTTTTTGCAACATCTAGTTAAAAGAACCTGCAAAGACCCTCCAAATCAGGTATTCATAGAAGGTAACAATACTTTTTGTACAAGACAATATTTAAAAGTTTACTCTGTCCAACCCAGCACTTCAGTGACAATATCTGACTCCCAACTGGCCTCTCTGGACTGCAGATTCAAATCTCTTATCATCGGTTCAAGGTGCAGTCTGTAATCTGTATCTTTATTTGTTTCATTTCACATTCTCTGTTCTTATGCACTGGTAGATACATCTGCCTGGATATTCCTGCTTCCTCACAGAAATGCTTTCCTGTCTTCTCTGACTGAGTCAGAAAACAGAGGAAAGTGTATGTTGGAAGGGATCTCAAGAGTCCCAGTCCCATGCCAGCTTGAAGCAGAGCAAACCTCACAGGCAGGATTGCTTGAGGCCTCGCCCAGCCAAGTTCTGAAAATTCCCTTCCTCAAATTTGAAAGCTCGTGTCCTTCCCTCCAACTGCTTCCATAAAGGAAAAATCCTCATTTCTGCTATGTAATCCAGGTCAAACCAAATTAAGGGGGGGAAAACAACGCACATGGTACCAGGGACTTTCCTTCCCTCCTGTATAACTCTGCAAGATTTCTATTCTTTCATCAGACACGAGGAAAACTAAAAGATTTGCAGTGGGGTAGGTCACAACATCCCAATCCTCCATGGAATTTTTTCAGCCCCTGTAAGGGGGGCTCCAAAGCCAGAAATACACCCTGGCCTTGGCAGTGTGGCAGCCCAGCAGGCCCTTCCTCTACAGTGATTCCCTGCCTTCTCTGCACAGGGGAGACAAGAGAGAAGAAAACAGAGGATTATAATTAGGACACAGGATTTGGAAAGCAGGGGTCCTGCTACTTTCCATGTGGAAATGAACATTTTTTTGTCTCCATGTGCCCTGGAGGATGGTGTTCCCTGGGAGAAGCCCCCTGCTCCAAAAACAATCTCCCTTTTATCCAGGCAGCACAAGTCTACTGAGTTCCAAAAAAGCATATCCAACCTCCTGGTGTCTGAGGGGCAGGGGAAGTTTATCTCTCTCTGTTTATCCTTCATCCTGCAATAACCAATTAAGGTAAATTGTGCACTCTATCTCCTACACAGATTAATGACAGTACATGAACCCTGATTAGCACTGACCCAATTTCTGATACAAAATAACGGGCAAACAGAGAGCACTGAGGCTGGGCTGAACTGAGATGCTACAGATTTGTTATCAGACAAGTTAACAAACCCCCCTATGAGAAAGAAATCCCACTCACCTGCAAAGGTGCCATGGGCTCCTTGGTCTATCTATCTTTGACAGATTTCCTTTCCCTCCAGTTAGTTTTGTTCTTCTGGGATAGGGATGCTGTAAATCCCTGGACAAGTTTGAGACACAGAAAATACATATTTCAATATTTTAAACTACAAATTACATAAAATACATATTTTAATATTTTAATTTCTAATCTTACAAAACAAGTAAAATTTAAAAAAAAAAACCCAACCATTAGGCTCCTTTCTATCTTCAGGAACTAGTATTAAGACTCCATCCATTTCACAAAGAAAGGCTGAGCCCTTCTGTGAGCACAAAGCAAAGGAGGTGTTTGATCTCGTCACAGAGAATTTGGGACCCCCAGGGGAGACAAAAGAGAGCAAACATAGAGAACCTGCCTCTGTAGCAATCTGCCCTCAGGAACCCACAAGTGGTAAACACTCTAACTGCAGATTTTTCTCCCCCCAGTCTTTTGTAACTCAAGCTGCTACTGAATCTTAATCCTTTCTTTTACTGCTTTGTTTGGAGTGTTGCTAGAAGAAACCAGCTCTTCATGACTGACAAAGGCAGGGCTCTCTGACTTGAGACAGCAGCTGGTTTTCAGGTCTTAAAACTAAAGGTTTAACCACAGTCTTGGATAGAAACACAGCAAAGTATTTCCAAAATCTGAGTGGATAAAAAAAAGATTTGCAGTTAATGTAGCATTTGCAGCCTGCAAATGCCAAGTCCCATGAGCAGGTTGGCTGTTCTGTAATATTAGGGCATATGTTTCACTGTGCCACATGCCTGGAAGTGTTCAAGGCCAGGTTGGATGGGGCTTCGAGCAACCCAGTCTAGTGGAAGGTGTCCCTGCGCATGGCAGGGGGGCTGAAGCTGAAGGAACTTCAAGGTCCCCTTCCAGCTCAAACTGTTCTGATTCTGTGAGAGAACCAGGGCAGCTCTATGAACCCTGCAGCTTGTGAACGCTGAGCTAACAGATAACCTGTGCAGGCCTGGCCCCTGCACCTCGGAGGCAGCGATGGTGACCGGGCCAGCGAGAGGAAAACGCCGAAACCCCCGCCCCGCACCCTGAGGAGAGTCCCGCACAGCCCAGGGCAGGCGAGGGCGGGCAGCAGAGCCACGCTCCCCCCACAGCCGTCCCTGGGTCCCTCACTGGCCACAGGGCCGGCGGGACGAGGCTGCGGCCATAGCCAAACCCGCCCCGCTCGGCACAGCCGCGCTGAGGGGAAAATGGCAGCGCCCTCCTACGCTCACGGTTGTTGTAGAGCCCCTCCACGTCCTTCCGCCGGGGAAAACAGCCTCTCTCCCAGCACCCACAGCCCCTCGGGACGAGGAGGAGCTGTCCCCGGGGACAGGGCCGGGGCAGCCCGGCCGCAGGGCCGGCACCCACACCCTGTTCCTGGGCGGGACGTGGCCACGGGCACGGCCGAGCCCCTCCGCGCGCGTCCCGCGCTGCCATGGCAACCCCAGCCCGCGCGCTGCTCACGTCCGGGCTGCCCACCAATCAGAGAGCGAGAGAGCGGCCGGCGAGCCAATCAGAAGCGAGAACAGCCCCGGCCGAGCCGAGCCCACACGAGCCTGGCCGAGCTGAGGCGGGCCGAGCAGGCGAAGTCGGGCTCACTGGTTTATCCAGAGTTCACTAAATTGTATTACAAGATTTCACACATTACCGTGCAGTGCTGGCCGTGACATTAAATTTGAAACTGAAGTCAGCCAGAGATACCAACAGAGGAGGGAAATGTGTGGGTTTTTTACCCCAGCGGCACTGCGCTGACACACTAACCAAGAGTCACATAAAAGGGCAGGTTCCTCAAAACCTGTATATTTTATTTTTTTAAAAATGATTATTATGATTGATTTGTGTCAGCACCTCAGGAAAGACAAGTTCCTCGTGCCTGAGCAGCCTGTCAGTGCCCAGCCCCTGGCTGGGACACCCCAAGAATCACACCTTGTGTTCAAGAGCCTGGAGCGTTGTCCAAATGCTTCTTGGACTTTATCTGTTCTTGAACTGTATCGAAGGGTTGGTCTACCAACCTTTTCAGGGACACCAGCAGAGTGTCAGAGCCAAATCCCTTATTTCAGCCTGGAAAGAGAGACTCCCTCCTGGATCCCCCCCACTCTCTTAGTTGGTATTTTATCAGTTTTGTCAAGTATGTCACCCACTGCTGCTGTCTGCCAGCGCCCTTGAAGGACTCACACAGAACAGTTTAAGGAATAACACACTTCATTAACAAATACCCTGATCACACAAGATTGTGACAGAGTCAGGGATTGATGCTGACACTGCACTGATTCCAAGAAAAAGTTTGAAGCAATACACAAACTCTAATCATCAAGGAAAGCTTGAAATAATAATTAGCACACTTAGAATAAAGTTCTTACCCAATAGGCCTCCCTAGAGGGAAGAAGCCAGGTTCAGCCCATTGACCAATCCCAGATACTAGGATGGAGTCTTCCCTAATGTCTCTCCCTCTTAACTCACTGTGACATTATTTCTTTACACTTACACGGAGCTTGAGTGATTCCAATCACTCATACTTTTGTTCCTGATTGGTGAAAAATTCTGTCAGTTTGCTCTTAAAGATATAGTTAATAAAATAGCACATGCTCAGGGATGGGTGGTAACTTTGGGATGGTATGTGACAGTATTACAGTATTATATGAGATTATGATAAGCAAGGTTCATCCGAAGAGAGTGATTTTGCCACAGTTGTTGGTTCAGCAACAAGACATCTTCTACCCTCTCACTTGGTTGACAGCTGCTCTAAGGTTTGTCAACCACGTGGTACCATCCAGTTCCCATTCCTGCAGGGATTACAACAGAGCCTGGCTTTACATTTTAAGCTAGTTTTGGACCAGCTCTATCCTGGTGTTTTCTGCAGGACTACACACAGAGCTGGAGCAGATCCAAAAGGTGCCACCGTGTTATTTATCCCCAAGTCTGGTGTGGCTGAGTAATACATTCAGGAGCCATATCACAGTTGATATGAGCATTTTTTAATGCTATGGGAGGAAGGCAGAGAGCTGGAAGATTGCTAAAAAATGCCAACACTTGCAAAATACTGTAACAATATCCACATATCTAAGTGCTTCCAGGGCTAGATTTGCTTTTACAGCCTGAATGATTCTGTGATTCTAAAGCATCAGGTAGGAATGCACGGGGCTATGGACATGAACCAGCGAGCTCTGAACGCCGCTGTCTCCCGGGAACAGAGCCCAGTGCAGCCTTCCTAGGGGGTCTATGGCGTAAGGGCTGTCACAGCTCCCGTGCCCCGAACTCCAGCGGGGTAAAATCGAGTCTGAGACAGAGTGCCGAAATCAGAGCAGTCGCTCCTGCTCTGCCCGAGCACACACCGTGACACTCATCCCGCCCAGCACGGGCATCAGGCCGAGCTCCCCTGTGTGCTGGGGGAGCGGTGGATCTCTGCCGGGGTTTCTGTCTCGATCCCTGCCATAATCCAGGTCAGCGAGTAGAAACAATAGAGAGTTGCACTAATGGTGCTGACTCTGCTCATGTCTCTCCCTCCAAAGTAAAACACAACCTCGCCCCGTTCCACCCCTTGACCCGCAGGGGAGCAGCTGATGGCAAGGGCAGAGCTCGGAGAGGAGGAACCGGGAGCTCGGAGAGGAGGAACCGGGATCGGACTCTGTTCCCGAGGGCAGGCTGGGTTTGTTCCGGTGCAGAGATTGTCCTTCCTTACTCAAAGGTGAGTAACAAATTGTGCTCGGGAACCGTATAACTCCTTAAAATTGTTGTCTGGGGCCATTGCTGGCAGATCTGACAGTTTGAAGTTGTTACACTTGGTTGGAAACTTGGGTTTCAGTTTCTGCGGTTTTCTGTGTATTTGAGAGCAATGTAGATACTCAGATCCCCTTGTTTTCCTTCTCTCTCTCTCTCTTTTTTTTTTTTTTTTTAACATTTTTGTGGGCCTGAATCTGTCAACAAAGGCAACAATTTATAGAAATGCAAGTTAGTGAACTCTGATGGAAGAGGCAAAAAAGCTTCTTTCACATCTTATTTTTAATTGACTAAAATTTTGACAAAATTAAGAAAGCAGAAGTGTGTCTTACAGGGTGGTATCAGGTGGGCTTTCCACTCAATTTTTTAACCGATACAGACAAATTTTGTGGGACTGGATTAAATGATTCAGCTGAAAACAATGAATACACAACCAGCCTCAGGGAAAAAAAAAAAAAGCCTTTAAATTACATTGTATAGAAATGGGAGTGTTTATTCACTGTAAAATGGCCGTAGAGCACCACCCCGTGGGGATTGACATTGCTGGGGTTTCAAGTTGTTTGTCATTCTGCATTTGCAGTCTTACAACAAACAATTAGGTATGCACCTCGCTCTTCCTGTACAGATATCGTCTATCAGCATGCAAGGGATTGTTACAGAGGGCAGGGTGGTCTGTCACACCAAGTTGGTTCCTTGAAGAGGCTCTGCCAGCAGCCCACCCTGTGCTGCCTTCAGTAAAGTACCAGTTCTCAGGAAGTAACACAGTTGTTCCCACTGTGATTCCCTCTTCTTCTCATCTCCTTCCACCCAACACCAGGGAGCAGAGGGGAGCCTCTTGCAGATTTAATTTTGCCAGGCAGGAGGAGGCTTGACATTGCAGTCCATCTTAACAGCTGCTGGTGCCAAAAGGAACCCAGGAACAGAGACTGAGGAGTTACCTGAAAGACTCCTGCAGCAGTGGGACCCCCTACCAGAGAAAACCAGGCATGCTGGAATCACCTACCGAGGCAAGGGAAATAAACAGGAATTTTTAAAATCTTTTGTCATCTTTCATCACCGAGATTTTCTCACTGCATGTAAGTGTGCCTGTATTCATGCCAGCTTTATTTCAGTCTTGTTTTGGTTTTTGTTTCAGAGAAAATGTTTGCAGCCTATTTTGATTGCCCAGGAGGCCCAGAAAATCTCTATATGAAAGAAGTGATGAAACCAAATCCAGGAGAAGGAGAAGTTCTTGTGAAGGTCTCTGCCAGTGCTCTGAATAGGGCAGATTTACTTCAGGTAGGTGTATGTTATGCAGATTTATGCACCTGAAAATAACACTGATTTTCCAAGCCCCTATCTGAAGTCCTGACAGATCAGAAGAGTTAAAAGAGATTGGAAGTTGTGAGCATTTGGATGGGAGATTTCATAGGGCCGAGAGATGTCTGTTGATTCAGCAGATAAATGTTTTTATCTGGGTCACTGCAGTGCTGGGCTAGTGTGGAAAGGCACTTGCCTTTCAAGAAAACATGTAAAACCAAAGCTCTGGTCTTTCTAGATGCTTACACCCTTCTCTGGACATTTGAGATGAACAGGAACTGTTCCACTAGCCCAGTTCCAGGGGGAGAAAAACTACATTCAAATTATTAAGTCTGATCTGCAAGTCATACTCTGCAACTGGGGACCATGGTACCTCCTCAGTGGAGACTGGCCTGGACAAAGAAGACTCATAAAAAAATGAATTTATTCTTATTTTAAGAACATACTTAAAAAACAAGAAGTGTTTCCAGAGAAGAGAAGATCCTCAGTTTACTAGAACATTTGCACAGTGCAAAACCAGGATTAAATAAATAGGACCTAAGGTTAGAGAAATGCAAAGGGAATATTGCAATTCATTACAGTCAATGATGTGTGGCTTTTCCTTTCTTGCCTTCTCTTTTCTTTTATTCTAGAGGAGAGGGAAGTACCCTCCCCCCGAAGGAGCAAGTGATATTTTAGGCTTAGAAGCAGCTGGCAGTGTGGCTGGGCTGGGCCCTGGCTGCAGGGGCTGGTGGAAGGTCGGCGATGCAGTGATGGCTCTGCTCTCCGGAGGAGGCCAAGCACAGTATGTTGCAGTTCCTGAGGGCCACCTGATGCCAATCCCTAAGGATATGACTTTTATCCAGGCTGCAGCCATTCCTGAAGCCTGGTTAACAGCATTTCAGCTGCTGCATTTTGTAGGTGAGAGGCGTATTTGCCCATCTATCCCAAAACAGCTCATATTCCTGTCTGTTATGAAATCCTCTCTTTGTTGCCTCCATCTGAATGCTGTTTGCCTTTTCTCTGTCACTTCATTCCCATGGGTCAGAATCTGATATGCCAGACGCAAATCCTGAAATCTTGACCACCTCTCCCCACTCACAGCTTATCCTGCTGATTGCCTATTTACAAGGAGGGATACGGAAAGATGCTCAGTTTTCTTTTCATCTCTGTTTCTCATCTTGAATCACTGAATGGTTTGGGTTGGAGGGGACCTTAAAGATCACCTAGTGCAATGCCCTTGCCATGGGCAGGGACACTTCCTATTGAGTCTAAACCCTCAAATAACCTCCATGTTCTCCGAACAGCTGAAAAGTCATCCTATTTCTAAGGATTTGACTTCACTTGCAAGCATGATCATATAATGAACTTTCTCACCAATTGCCTTTGGATCTAAAATAGGCAACATCTCCTTGTACCTTGTTTGACAGAGACAGTAATTGTAGGTAAAATCCCCTCTGAGCTGATTTAAAACAGTCAGAAGCTCACACTCTTCACTTTGAAAATACACTGCCAAGGCACTACCGTAGCACTTGCCAGGGTTTTCCTCAGGTGAGAAATATCCTTCTACCCTCTTCAGCAGTACCACCTAAAAGCTCCAGCAAAGAACAGAAGTTCCAAACAAATAACTTTCCTATAGACTTGTTTCAAGCAGTGTTGTTTCCTCAGGATCACTTCCAGATCAGTTCAAATTAATGCATTAGAGCAACTGATAGATGATGGGTAGAACTGGTCCTTAACATTACGCAGCAGTTCTGGTATTTCTGCATTGTTGAGTGCCTGATTTTTCAGAATGAACAACCTCCAGCAGTGTTTTTTACTGGCTGATTGCACTCGTTTAAGCATGGTCACAGATGCCCAGAGCTGGACAGGGCCAAGATAAAGTCATTCCACTGAAACTGGTAAAATGAAGTTCTGTCAGCACACTGCGACCTCTGTTAGTCCTGGGTTTGTTTCTTCTATGAAGGATATGAAGATGTAAACAAAGCCCAGAAGGGCATCTCTTTCAACCCCCTCTTCAGTATTTTCCACACTGTTCATGTTTTAATCCAAAGGTGATGCCCAAAGGTGACCACTCTTCCCTTATGTCCTTCAGGTAAAGTACAGGAGGGCGAGACAGTGCTGATCCATGCTGGAGCCAGTGGAGTTGGCATGGCAGCCATTCAGCTGGTGAGACTGGCAAAAGCAATTCCCATCGTGACAGCAGGAACTCAAGAGAAACTGAAAGCAACAGCAAACGCTGGAGCAGCTGCAGGGTTCAACTACAAGAGTGAAGATTTTAGTGAAAAAGTCCTGGAGTTCACCCAAGGTAAGAACCTCTCTGTGAAAGAGCCTGTGACAGCTGGGGAGGGGTTTGTACCTCCCAACATGTGCACAAACACTCAGTTTCAGCTGTCCCCTCAGTCGGTGAGGGAGCAGACAGCAGTGACCCTGACACACTGTTCAGCTCAGAATGTGCCTTTCCTTCGTTTAATTGTGCTGTTTTCTGCATGGGCTCTCTTTATCTGTGTTCATTTGGGGCGTAAATATTGTGCCTTCTTATTGTTTTGCTCCACAAAGAAGTGTGGGACCAGGTCCTCACACTTGTCTTTGTAGGAGTTTGAATCATCATGGAATCACAGAATGGTTTGGGTGGGAAGGAACCTTAAAGATCATCTTGTTTCAAGCCCCTGCCATGACACTTTCCACTAGGCAGGGACACCTTCCCCTAGACCCGGGTGCTTCCAAGCCCCATCCAACCTCGCCTTGAACACTTCCAGGGGTAGGGTATCTACCTCACCATGCTGGGTTCTCACACTGGTAAAAAAATTTCAGTGGGAAGAATTAGATGAGAATTGCAGGGTTGATTCTGTACCTAATGAGAACAAGGTTTTAGTTTTCCCTGAGATTATCCCAGCCTTTAATGCAGCTCAACTACATTGATGAAATCTCTTCTGTTTCTACTTAAGGTTCTGGAGTGGATATTATTTTAGATTGTGTTGGTGGCTCATACTGGGAGAAGAATCTCAACTGTCTGGGTACTGATGGCCGGTGGATTATTTATGGACTACTGAGCGGAGGTGAAGTCCATGGGGATTTGCTGGCAAGGCTGCTTTCCAAAAGAGCCAGCATCCACACGAGTCTATTACGGTCACGAGACAAGGAGGCAAGTAATGGCTATCAACAGTCTGTGCAGTTTGACCATAAAATCAATGATAGTTTTCTTTTAAAACCAGTGTTAAACACCTTCTTGCCAAATAAAGGCCCACCTTGAGCTATCAGAACATACTTGGAAAAATTAAGTTATAATTAAGTTATAATGTCCCTTTTCTATTTTTATCAAATTCCTCCCTGAATCAGAGGAATGATACCCCGGACTTCTAAATGTACTTCCCAAGTACCATAATTTATAGATTTGGTGTAAGAAAGAACAGAACTCGAGTGATCAGGCAATTTGATCGAGTCTGAGGAGAGGTAAATAAAAACCTCTATTAGGTAATTTTTTGGTAAAAAGCAAGCAAGGCCATTTGGATGCCCAGCTACCAAGAAGAAAACCCCTTTATGTGGAAAATTTTCAGCTATGACAGTAAAAGACAGGCAGTGCGGAGCCCTAGGGTAGATGGTTTAAGACATAATATACATATATATTATACATATAATTTTTTCAAGAACTTTATCACTTTGAATTTAAATGGTTCTGCACTGAGCTTACACCACCTGTTTTGGAGAATTTCATTCATTTACAAAGTAATAAATCTAAAAGTTTCCTTCTTATTTGTAATTTAGACCGGTCCGATGTTTATAATGCCCCTTTCCCCCTGACAGTGGCAGGAAGTGTCTCCTTGAGGGCCGCGCACACTTTGTATAGGCCGTGCCTGGAGACACCTCAGCGAGTGAAATGGCTGCAAATAACCTTCAGAACTCTCTTTTCGCGCAGTACAAGGAGCGGCTGGTGAGAGCCTTCACAGAGGACGCTCTGCCCTATTTTTCCGGAGGGGCTTCCCCGCGTCTCCAGCCGCTCGTGGACAGCGTCTACCCCCTGCACAAGATCGCAGAGGCACACAGGATCATGGAGGAGAACAGGAACATCGGCAAAATCGTCATCGAAGTGCCCGTTTGCTTCAAGAAAGGGCCGCTGCTGTAGCTGTGCTGGGTGCCAGGGTCACTGCGGGGCTTGGACTGCAGAGAGGAGGGGCAAAGGATTACGGGAGGCGTTTATTGAAAAGGTGGCGAGGAGGGGCAGAGCATTACGGGAGGCGTTTATTAAAAACAGGTCCGTGTTGCAGCCCTGTGGCCGTGAATTGAAGGCGGGACGCGAGGCGGGTATCGCGGCCCCCTCAGGGCGGGGGGCGGGGCCGGGGCCGAGCAGTGCACGCCGGGACAGATCCGGGTCTCCCGCGGGCCTTCCCGATCCTGATCCCTGCTGGTGTTCCTGTTCCTGATCCCTGCTGGTGTTCCTGTTCCCGGGCTCCTTCCCCGCCGGTGTTCCTGCCCCAGGCCGAGGCCTCCTCCTTCAGCCCGCAGCCATGGCGATGCAAGCGGCCAAACGAGCCAACGTGAGTGCGCTGCGCTGCCCCGTCCCGCCCGCGCTGGGCTCCGGCCCCGCTCCCGGCCAAGGGAGCCCATCCCGCTCCAGGCATCCCGCTGGTCTGACGGGAACGCCACGGGGGGTGGGACAGGGTGATCTCTAAGGCTCCTCCCGATCCCATTCCGTGTTCCTGTGGTTTGGGCTCCTGGGTTTAAGGTTTGCGGTCCGTGCCCCGGCTCTAACACCCGCCGTGTCCTGCCCCCCCTCAGATCCGGCTCCCCCCGGAGGTGAACCGGATCCTGTACATCAGGAACCTGCCGTACAAGATCACGGCCGAGGAGATGTACGACATCTTCGGGAAGTACGGCCCCATCCGGCAGATCAGAGTGTAAGTGTTTTGTTTTCCTGTGGGACGTGAAGGGTTCCACGTGCTCCGCTGCCGGTTTTCCCACCGCAGCGGGTGATAGCTGGGATCCACAGCTGGAAAGGCTCGGTGCCCTGAGTGCCAGAGGGGCATGCGAGGATGCTCTTATGTGAATTTGTTAGAAAATTATGTTGCTGGGAGGTGGGGGGAAGAAGCTTAAATTTGGTGTGAACTTGGGGAAGTTGGTAAAATATCAGAGTCATTCTCCTGAACCCTAAATACAACTGAGCTTTTACCTTTGCTGGAGCTAAAAATAAGAAAGGCAGAAGCTGAACAGTTTTCCAGTTTTCCTGTTTAATGAGTATGAGATAATTAATGGGAAAACAGAGATGTTGATGTTGCTGCTGGACCTGTGGTCTAGAAACAAATACCAGCAGGAACCCCTGTGGGTCAGAGACAGGGTGTCCTCAACCACACAGGGTCTGGATAGTGGGGATGTGACTGTGACTTTGCTTGTAAATGCCTGGAGATTATACATGTCTGCAGCAGCTCTGAGGTTCTTCTCACTGCTGGCTCTGGTGTTGCCTGTTATCCTGAGAACTGTCTGAGTTGTCACAGAATGGTTTGGGTTGGAAGGGACCTTAGGGATCATCATGTGGATTAAACCATTCCATCTGGATGGTATCATGACCCTCTAAGTTTCTGCAGAAAGAGTTGGCTGAAGGTGGAATTCAGGGAGAGCTTTTGAGGACTGTAGTAAGGCTGGTTGGAGTATGGACACTCATAAAAAAGATTTGTTTTTTTTTCCCTCTTCTAAAGAATATTTAGGAAGGGGAAGAAGCAGAACTTGGTGTTTTAAACATTGTAAGACACATTTCAGTAGATGCACACATAGAAAGGAAATGTTTGTATTTGACATAGTGTGGGGCTTTTGTACTGCTTCTATCAACGGTGGCAAAATAACCTGCAACACTTCTGAGTTCCTGACTAAGTTGCTGATCAGATTAGAGCAGAACATCCCCTTGTCATTTATATGGCTTTCTGTTCAGTAATGCCCTGAGACTGGGGTGGGTAATTAATGTTTGTTTTGAGTACACAGAGTGTAAATACCTAAACTGTCAGTGCTGCTTAAACGGACCAAGCGTAACAACCTCAAATAGAAGTGCTCATTTCAGAGCTGTAGTGATTAAAATCACAGGGTGGTTTGTGTTGGAAGGGACCTTAAAGACCATCTAGTTCCAACCCCCTGCCATGAACAGGGACACCTTCCACTAGACCAGGTTGCTCAGAGCAAGCTGGCCTTGAACACTTGCAGGAATGGCACATCCACAGCTTCTCTGGCAACCTGTTTGCTTGTTAACTGTATAGAGCAAAGCCAGTTTTACAGGCAGAGTTGCCCTCAGCAGACCAGGACAGGGGGACACGTGCTGGTGGTGCTGTGCTGGGATGTGCAGCTGGACAGGCCCTTGTCCAACAGAGAAATGCAGCAGATGTGGCTGGGGAATGGCTGAAGGAACAAGGGGCACTGCTGGGCTAAACAGGTGGAGTTCTTTGTTAATGAACATAAAGGACAACCAATACTTAAAGTTTCTGAAAACATGTAGGCTGGAACAGTGGGACATAAGGAATTGGGATGTATCAGGAGCTTTCCGTCAGAGCAACCCACTTATGTGTGTGTCCAGCAGTTTGTTCAGAACTACTAATTGGCGTTGTTTCCCACAGAAATCCCAACATCATCACGAGACAAGGCATAAGGTCGATCCCCCTTTGTAATGGCTTTTGTGCTTCGTGCAGTTTTTATCCCATTCTCCACCTTTGTACACATCCCACATGGATATGTGAGATACCGTTTGTCCTTGGGAGTTCTCAGAAGCACCTTGGAGACAGTTGTTCTGATTATTAAGTCTCTATAACTGTCTTTTAGTTGAAACCTTTGGGATCTGTAAACTCTGTGGTCCCTCAGGGCTCATTAGTGTTATGTGCCCAGCCGTGTGTCCCATCCCTCGGGCAAAGGGAGTGGAATTGGTGCTCCAGTGGGTGATGGCTGTGGCTCAGCAGTGCGCTGTCACCAGCAGGGCTGTTCTGACTCCTAAATTGGCTTTGTGATGTGCCAGGAGCCCTGTTCAACCCTAGGGACACGTCTGATCCAGACAGCCACTAACTGACAGCCAGGTCTTGTAATATTAGATAAAACAAGCTAATTACTTTAATAAAGACTTACATTATTTCCAGACACTTGGCAACCCTGACAAAAGCTTCTGATAGTTGTTGTGGAGAGGTGCATTTTCCTTAAGGAACAAAATAGAGCACATTTTCCTGTTGGCTCTGGCTCTGAAGTGTTTGGTGTGGAAAGCAAGAACGTAGTTTAATATCTAGAAAAAAATAAAAAATTGGGTTTTAGTGAAGTCGCATTAGTTCATCTAATCTCAGTCACTGTGAAATAAATAAATAAACATTAGACTAGTAAAACTACTTCTTGTTCATTTTATTCAACGTTAAAACTGATGTTGCTCTGCAGTGGGAACACCCCTGAGACCAGAGGAACAGCCTATGTGGTGTACGAGGACATCTTCGACGCCAAGAACGCCTGTGATCACCTGTCAGGGTTCAACGTGTGCAACAGATACCTCGTGGTTCTGTACTACAATGCAAACAGGGTATGTGCACCGGGGGGGGGGGTTAAGTTACCTGTGAACAGAGCCAAGCACAAAAAATAAACCCAAAATCGGTTTGTGAAGGCAGTTGCATGGGTGTTGTTAAGAAATAATCCCCAGGTGCTGGAGGGAGTGGATTGGACACGTGGTCAGTGTTTCATCTTTACTTGGGGATTTGTGTGCCAGACAAAGCACCTTTGGACCAAGGGTGTGACAAAGATGTTTCTGGTGCAAGTACTCTGGAGAAGAGGAAGCAGGGGCCTCCCACCAGCACAGCTGCAACAGGGTGTGAGATCTTGTTTATGGGTAAAAAGTCTCTAGTTTTGGGTGTCCTCCTTGGACACTGACGGTGTCCAGAGGGCCCTGTGATGTTCTCCAAGGGCAAGAATCAAAAAGAGCTGTGTATGTGATGGTGATGGATTTTTTAGTGATGTTGGTTGCAGTTACTGGGAAACAGCATATCCTAAGATGAGAGATTCTTTGTCATCTCACATCTTTTTTATTTCCTAATTACAGGCATTCCAAAAGATGGACACAAAGAAGAAAGAGGAACAGCTTAAGCTTCTCAAGGAAAAATATGGAATTAACACAGACCCACCAAAATAAACTGATCTTTTTTTGAAAATTGTTTTCAAGCCCTGCCGTCGAGTTCTTAACCTAAACACAGGAATTCTCAACAAAGTGTAACTTCTTCTCTTACAGATTTGATAAGCTGCAATATGAATCTTTAGATCTTCACGTTAGAATTAAATAAATGTAAAACACAGGAAGATCTGCTTTAAGATTAAATCCTCCAAGTGGACGTGGGCACTCCAAGCTGTGAGGGTGACCTGGCAGAGGCTGCATTGACCTGTTTCTAGCAGGAGCTTTAAGAAGGGGCCGAGCAGGTTCTGTTTTTGACTGAACAAAGGAAGCCCATGTTTATAGCAAAGTTTCTTTCACAAACTGTAGAAGATAAATGGCCTTTTAAATTTAAAACTATCTGGCTGATAAGGTGACTCCAGTCAAATCCGGTTCCAGCAGTGGTGCCAACACTGACTGGGTACAGTGAAACAGCCCTGCTCTCACAGTGCTGTGCTGCAGGGCTGAGCCAAGGCTGTATAAGGTCTTGGCTGAGTGTACCAGGGTTGTACTGAGGACTCTGTGTGAATTAGAGAACACTCGACCAAAACGAGACAGTAGACAAAGGTTTTGATTTTGGTACCTGTACTGTGATTGTTTGCTGCCTGCTGTGTTTGAATTCTTAACAGATTTTCTGTACATAATTTTTTAGGTGTAGCATCTGATGGAAACAAAACCAAATTTACATTTTTTGTAAATTTTTTTTTTCTTCAGCACTCATGTCCTGTGTATAAAAATGAGTTTGATACAGAGTGTGCATAACCAGTGTCTTTTGGAAGTGGGAAAGAACAACCTCTGTTCTGAGCCAGCTGGAAGTTGTGTGAACATTGGTAGTATCCTGCCTTGGAATGATTTACTTTGGTGAGGTTTTACTCCCTAACCAGACAACTTTCAGCCAGTGCAGAACATGGGCAGATACAAACATACTCAGCTTGAGGATTTGTAATTTGATTTTGGGTTTTTCAGTACATTGTACT